ACACACACACACACACACACACACACACACACACACACACACACACACACACACACACACACACACACACACACACACGGCTTTGACAGGTCCCCTCCCAGGGGCTGGTCGCTGAAGCTTTTGCCATTGCCCAGGGACGGAAAGTTCTGAGCAATAAAATTTCTTAAATAGCCAAGTCTGAACCATATGTCTGCCAGGAACTGTGGTGCTGGGCCTCCCTCTTCTCCCTTCCAGGGAAGGCGTTAGTGATGCCTTCTCTGGAAGTGGGAAGGGTGACTCAAAGGGAGCGTGGGGGCCTTCTGGGAAGGGTGGTTATGGGTAGTCTCATCTCCAGCGTATGGCGTCAATAGGGCCTGGGGTGTCACTGTCCCCCATACCCTTGGTTTCCCTATCTGTTCAATAATCCCTGGGACCAGATATGAATTTTCCTGCTGAGCCTTAAATGAAATAAAAGATAGCTTATGCTCAGATTCTCCTCAAAAAGTAATTTTGGGCGGCCAGGCGTCGTGGCTCATGCCTGTAATCCCAGCACTCTGGGAGTCCAAGGCGGGCAGATTACCTGAGGTCAGGAGTTCGAGACCAGCCTGGCTAACACGGCGAAACAACGTTTCTACTAAAATTAGCCAGCTAATTACAAAAATTAGCCAGTGTGGTGGTGGGCACTTGTAATCCCAGCCACTCGGGAGGCTGAGGCAGGGAGGATTACTTGAACCCGGGAGGCAGAGGTTGCAGTGAGCAGAGATAGCACCATTGCACTCCAGCCTGGGGACAGCGAGACTCTGTATCAAAAAAAACTAATTTTGGCATCTTTTCCACAAAATTGGGGTGCTGGAGGGGCATGGTAGCTCACACCTGTAATCCCAGCACTTTGGGAGGCTGAGGTGGGCAGATTGTTTGAGACCAGCCTGGGCAACATGGCGAGACACCGTCTCTACCAAAAAAACAAATACAAGGCCGGGCGCGGTGGCTCACGCCTATAATCCCAGCACTTTGGGAGGCCGAGGCGGGTGGATCACAAGGTCAAGAGATCGAGACCATCCTGGTCAACAAGGTGAAACCTCATCTCTACTAAAAATACAAAAAAATTAGCTGGGCATGATGGTGCGTGCCTGTAGGCCCAGCTACTCGGGAGGCTGAGGCAGGAGAATTGCTTGAACCCAGGAGGCGGAGGTTGCGGTGAGCCGAGATCGTGCCATTGCACTCCAGTCTGGGCAACAACAGCGAAACTCCGTCTCAAAAAAAAAAAAAAAAAAAAAAAAAAAACCAAATACAAAAATCAGCTAGGCATGGTGGTACACGCCTGTGGTTCCAGCTACTTGGAAGGCTAAAGTGGGAGGATCACTTGGGCTGGGAGGCAGAGGTTGCCGTGAGCTGAAATCATGCCATTGCACTTGTAGCCTGGGCAGCTGCCAGACCCTGTCTCAAAACAACAAACAAAAAACCTGGGGACCTAGGATGTCTTTAAGAGCCCTTCAACCTCTAACAGTACTTAAACCAATCGAAAGACTTTTGTTAGTTACCTCCCCACCCCCAGGATGCTCCGTGATGAGCAGCAAGCTGGCCGTGAGCTGTGTGGGTCACCAAGATTGCATGGAGAGGGGCTGAGCTGACCAAGGGGGATGAGGGGTAGGGCCTGCAGGGAGGGGGCAGAGCCACTCACCTAATAACAGCTGTAGTGTGTAGAAGATGCAACCAAATATGCTGTTGGATTGATTGAGGATGCTGTCCTGTCCCAGCACATGCTCCACCAGCCCGAAGCCCCTCCCCCACCTGGCAGAGGGGTGGGGTCGAGTAGAACGAGGTTAGGAATGTCAACTTAGTGGCTTGGATCCTGCCCTAGAAAGGTGATTTCCAAGAAGCCACCTGGGTATCCTTTCCCCCACCTTCCATCCGGTCCAGGGGTCGATGACCTCCAGGCACCGGGAACCTTTGGCCACGTCAGGATTCCATGTCACTGACCGTGTCCTCCCCTTTCCCCAGACCAGGTCTGGACGTGGCTACTCCATAGGTCCTGCTTTTCATCCTAGATCTTAAGTAATTCTTTTTCTTTTCTTTTCTTTTTTTTTTTGAGGCAGTCTCACTTGTTCACCCAGGCTGGAGTGCAATGGCACGATCTCAGCTCACTGCAACTTCTGCCTCCCGGGTTCAAGCGATTCTCCTGCCTCAGCCTCCTGAGTAGCTGGGATTACAGGCGCCCGCCACAGCGCCCAACTAATTTTTGTATTTTTAGTAGAGATGGGGTTTCACCATGTTGGCCAGGCTAGTCTCGAACTTCTAACCTCAAGTGATCCATCCACCCGCCTCAGCCTCCCAAAGTGCTGGGATTACAGGCGTGAGCCACCACGCCCGGCCCTTAGGTAATTCTTAACATGGCAAGGCTGGTATAACGTGTCACTCGGTTTTGAATCAGAGACTGGGAGTCAAGGGCAGATTATCTTTGCTCTGGACCCCAGAATCTCCAGCTCCCTGGCCACTTACTCGCCTCCTCTGTATTCCAACATTATGCTAAGGCTTGGCCCTCACGCACAGCCAGACCGGGCCACCTAGTTCCCGGGCACAGCCATTGCTAACACCCCCCGGCTCCGCCGAGCGCGGTCCTTGAGACCACCATCATCAGTCCCTGCCGCTATCCCGCCTCCCCGCCTTTCCCAGTCACCTTTATTCCTTGGCATCCAATCCACATGCGAGTCCCCGAAATAATCCCAGTCACCAGCACTGTCTGATCCCCTGCCTCGCACTCTTATCTCGAACGCCAGTATCTCTGGGTAGCTCAGCCCCCGTGCAGCGACTCCGCGAGCAGTCCAGCCCCGCGTCTGTTCCCCGGGCACCCCGATCCCAGATTCCAGAATAATCAATCAGGTAACCTGGCCGCCCTGCCCCTGGGCCTCACGCCTCCTACTCCCGAGCGCACCTGGAGGAGAAGACGCGCGAACAGCTGATGGCGGTGCCAACGTCGCAGAGCGCGCGGTAATCCCGGTCCCGGGCGCGCGCCGCCTTCACGTGCAGCGCGTAGAGCGAGAGCACTAAGCCCGCTAGGCAGAGCGCGAGCCGCACCCAGCCAGGGCTCCCCCAGGTGCTGCCCATATCTCCAAGTCCCGCCCGAGGCGCCAGCGGAGGGAAACCAGCCACGGAGCAGGGGCGGGGCGGGGCATGGCCATGCCCCTGTGACTCGGCTCGCACTCCGCGACCCAATTGGCTGTTCTCAAGCACGAGTCGTGCTGGTGAGTTAGGGAAACCACGAGGAATGCCGGGACTGGTGAGGCGGGTCAGGGACGTGTAGAATCGCTGCCCCAGCAGCTGCCAGGCATGATGGGAGTTGTAGTCAGGGAGGCTGCAAGGCATCAAGGGAAGTGAAGTCTCCAGAGATTTAAAAACGCTGTTAATGTGGGTCACAGTATTTGCGCTTACCCTATGCCAAGTTCTGTTGAGCATCCAGGACCTAGAGACCAGCGGATCAGGGGATCCAGGGAATACGGCGATCCGGTTCGGGAACGAAGCATTTTCCCTGAAACTATTTCAGGCACCATTGGTGTCTGCAACCTCCAGTCCTCCGAGGTCCTGCCTCACCAGTGCTTCCTGCCGGTCAGTCTCCCTTTCTTCCTTACGTTCCCAGAGCCACTCCTTTGGCCACAAACACCCTGGTCAGCATCCTAACCTCTCTACTATCGTGGCACCCGCCTGGCAACACCTAAGCTTGGATCAACTCAACAGTCACCCTCTCTTTTCCAAGCCTTCCGTGGACCAGCTGAGGTCTCTCCTTCACAGACGTCGCATCTGATAGTGACCCACCTCTCCTACACTTTCAACTCCTCTATCCTCCCCATCTGCATTGCAACTTGTTTCTCTTTCCCATCTCAGAAACAGGAACAAATCTCTTTTCACTAAGAGGTCCTTCACCAGCCTCCCCTTCCCCGCATTTAACTATCTTCCCCTCCAGTCAAGTTTTTGAGAAGACTTTACACTTCCAGTCTCTACTTCCTCACTTCTTCCTTGCTGTCCACGCCATAGACTAGCTCCTGCCTCCAGCACTGCCCTGACACCTAGTGGCTGTTGTCACAAAGACGCTAAACCCAGTGGTTATTTATTTATTTATTTACTGATTTTGAGACTGAGTCCCGCTCTGTCGCCCCGGCTGGAGTGCAGTGGTGCCGATCTCGGCTCACTGCAACCTCCGCCTCCCGGGTTCAAGCGATTCTCCTGCCTCAGCCCCCTGAGTAGCTGGGACTACAGGCGGGCGCCACCACGCCCGGCTAATTTTTGTATTTTTAGTAGAGACAGGGTTTCACCATGTTGGCCAGGCTGGTCTCGAACTCCTGACCTCGTGATCCTCCCGCCTCGGCCTCCCAAAATACTGAGATTACAGGCGTGAGCCACCGCGCCCGGCCGTAAATTTTTTAAAAATACATCGAAGGCGCTTAGAAAGCTGCCTGACCTATCGTATACCGTATTCTAAAGGGGGCTCGCGAGATGCATGTCCAACCTCCGCCGCCGGGGGCAGCAGCAAGTCCGGGCCAGCTGGGGACGAGGCGCGGCGGGTCAAATGGGGTGAGGCTGGTCAGCCAGATGCCTCCGCCTCCGTGGCAGCCGCAGCTTTCCCCGCCTGCGGCCCCTGTCCACGCCGCGGCCACGTGAGGGCCGGGTTCTGGCGCACAGAGCGCAGCCTGTCCTGCCCGCCAGGAGCACCCTTCCCGCTCCCTTCTGCCACGGGCTCCAGCCGTGCCTGCCTCGGGGCTGCCGCCGCCTGGCTGTACTCCAGGACGCTGGAAAGAACAGGTGGGAACGGTGTGGGTGGGGGGCAAAGAGGAAACCCAGGGACGCAGGGTGCCCCTTTTCTGTGATCTGCCCCCAATTCCTCAGGCAGGCCAGCCACGGTGAGGGATCCTCCCTCCAAGTTTATGTTTATTATTTATTTATTTTCTACCTCCAAGTTTATTTATTTATTTTTATTTTTAGACGGAGTCTTGCTCTGTCGCAGGGTGGAGTGCAGTGGCGCCATCTCCGGCTCCCTGCAACCTCCGTCTCCCGGGTTCAAGCGATTCTTCTGCCTCAGCCTCCAGAGTAGCTGGGATTACAGGTGAAATACCCTAGCTTAGCTATAATGAATACATTTTTTTTTTTTTTTTTGAGACAGAGTTTCGCTCTTGTTACCCAGGCTGGAGTGCAATGGCGCGATCTCGGCTCACCGCAACCTCCGCCTCCTGGGTTCAGGCAATTCTCCTGCCTCAGCCTCCTGAGTAGCTGGAATTACAGGCACGTGCCACCATGCCCAGCTAATTTTTTGTAGTTTTAGTAGAGACGGGGTTTCACCATGTTGACCAGGATGGTCTCGATCTCTTGACCTCGTGATCCACCCGCCTTGGCCTCCCAAAGTGCTGGGATTACAGGCTTGAGCCACCGCGCCCGGCCCATAATGAATACATTTTAAACAATCCTGCTAACTCCATTTTGCCCACCCTGAGCTATGTTGCCCACCCTGAGCTATGTAGGGCATTCTGTTCTGAGAGCTTGTGGTCTGAGACATCTGGCATCTTTGTAACCAATTTTCTGAGAAACAGGGCCCATTGGCCCTGTACATTCTGGTGCACGCCATCGCATCCGGCTAATTTTGTATTTTTAGTAGAGACAGGATTTCACCATGTTGGCCAGGCTGGTCTTAAACTCCTGACTTCAGGTGATCTGCCTGCCTCGGCCTCCCAAAGCGCTAGGAGTACAGGCGTGAGCCACGGCCCCCGGCCCACCTCCAAGTTTAAAGACAGCCTCCAGGCCCAGTGTGGTGGCTCATGCCTGTAACAATTCAGGAGGCTGAGGCCAGGAATTTGGGACCAGCCTGGGCAACATAGCGAGACCCCCGGCTCTAATACAAAAGCAGGCGCGGTGGGTTATGTCTATATAATCCCAGCACTTTGGGAGGTCGTGGCAAAATAATTGCTTGAGGGGGAAAAAATTACCCGGGTGTAGTGGTGCTCACTTATAGTCTCAGCTACTTGAGAGGCTGAGGCAGGAGGATCACTTAAGTTGGAGGCCGTAGTGAGCTATGATGGAGCCATGGTATTCCTGCCTGAGCAACAGAGCAAGACCCCATCTCCAAATACATACAGCCTCCAGATGTCACCTGCTTCATTCAGTACTTTTTATTGAAAATATTTAGGAAATATGTAACCACGGTAAAGAAAATTCCAATCAGTACAAGTACACACTACACACATTGCACATGCACACACTGAGTCCTACTCAGGCTGCACCTATACAGCTGTCTGAGTCCCTGTCTGAGGCTCCGGCAGCCTCCTCTGAAAGCCCTCATCACAGCCTATGACAGGCAAATGTCAGAGAAGCCAGTAAGAAGACAATTGTTTTAGGCCAGGTACAGTGGCTGACGCCTGTAGTCCCAACACTTTGGGAGGACAAGGCAGACCTCAGGAGTTCAGAAGATGAAACTGTCTTCCTGTGCAGTGCACGGAAAGATCTATTCAATTCACTGCTCAATCCTCTCCTGATGTAGAAAAAGCATCCAGTCAAGTGACTTGCATTCTCTGCAGGCATGAGTGAATAATAATAATGCCTAACCCTTACATAGTACTAATTCCACGCCTGGCACTGTTCTAGGCACTCATATAAATTCATGTAATCCACACAACCCCAAAACTGATGATACCGCTTCATCTTACCAAGCACTGAGCAGTTAAGTAATTTGCTCCAGGGATTAAGGGGCCGAGCTGGGGTTTGAAGCAGGCAGCCTGGTTTCCCATAAATGAACCAAGAACTGGAAGGAGGACAAGACCGCCGAGAAAGAGTCAGGCAGGGTGTGATCTGTGCGCTTTACATATAAGATCATCCGGCTCCCAGGGAGCCCGTTTCATAGAGCGGGAGAAAGAGGCGAGGAGGGACATGGAGCTTCGGGAGCCGCGGTGAGAAAGCGGTGCTCTTTGGGGTCCGAGAGCAGGGGCGTGGCCTGGATGCATGGGGGCGCGGGCGCGCGGGCGCCCAGGGCTGCACGTCCTCAAGGCAAACTACAACTCCCAGGACACACCGGGCGCTGCCCCGAGTGACGTCACGGCGGCGGAGGGCGCAGGCGACTGGGCCCCCGGCGAGTGGACTGTTCGAGCCCTTCCGCTCGGACCCGGGCCCTGGCTCCAGCCCCACGGTAAGTGGGGAGATCCTTGCCGACCCAGTCCACGGAGGCCCTGCGGCGCACGTCCACAGCCTCCATCACTGCGCTGGCACGCAGGCAGGGCTCGCATCTACCATATGGGGGGCGTCTGGGCCGAACCAAGTGACCCGCGTAGGGGGCCCCGGCGACTCCAGGCCGCACTCTCCCGAGCCGACACTGGAGCCCAGGACTGGTGTCGCACGTCCGCTGGCCGCCCTCCCAGGGCCCAGGTTTGAAGGTCCTGGGCAGGCAGGGGCAGCCCCGCCCACTGAGGAGGGTGCCCGGGAACCTGGGGCGAGGTTTTCGGGCTGGAAGGGTCTGAGAGTCTCCTCCCCCAACAGCCCACCCACCGCCAGTAGAACCCTGGGTTGAGGAATAGAACCCCCGGGAGGCCAGGTCCTTCGGGCGCGGCCTGTGCTCATTTGGGGAGGCGGTGGGAGAGGTGGGCAGAGGTCTCCCGCGTCTGGGGAGACTGGTGCACCGGTGCCGCGAACTGTGTGGATTCAGATTCTTACAACTTCCCCTTCCCTGTCCCGGTAGATGGGAGCTCCTCTCCACGGGCTGAGACTGTCAGCATCCTCGACGCGCCCTTGTCCCTGAAGTTGGAGAAGAGCCTCTACCCACCCACACCCCCCTTACCCCATTTGGGTCGCCCCTGCCCCCTGGGTCTTCAGCCTTAGCGGCCGCTGGGTCTGAAAGAAACAGGACGATGATCCTGGCGTCGGTGCTGGGGAGCGGCCCCCGGGGTGGGCCTCCACTCCGGCCCCTCCTGGGGCCTGCACTCGGGATCCGGTCCCGCTCAACGTCAGCCACTGACACACACCACGTGGAGATGGCACGGGAGCGCTCCAAGACCGTCACCTCCTTTTACAACCAGTCGGCCATCGATGCAGCAGCAGAGAAGGTAGGCAGCAAGGTGGCGAGCCCGGGGTCCAGGATACGGCCGCCGCGAGATGGGGAGTGTTGGGGGTTCTCTGCTCAAGTTCCCTCTCCGTCTCTAGCCCTCAGTCCGCCTCACTCCCACCATGATGCTCTATTCCGGCCGCTCTCAGGATGGCAGCCACCTTCTGGTAAGATTCACACTCTCTATTTGCCTCGTGGCTCCTGGAGCTCTCCCAGACATTCAGGGCCCAGCCATGCCTTCCCTTCTTTTTCTCCTAGAAAAGTGCTCGGTACCTGCAGCAAGAACTTCCAGTGAGGATCGCTCACCGCATCAAGGGTTTCCGCTGCCTTCCTTTCATCATTGGCTGCAACCCCACAATACTACATGTGGTAAGGTAGAGAGGACCTTACCACCCTGCCTGGGGGAAAGTGGGGAGTCTGGGGCCCAGAGTGGTGGACGCTTGCTTGCCTAAAGGTGTCAGGGCCACACAGGATTCAGCCCTAGGCCTTTAGAAGCCAAAGGTGTATTCATGGGGGCGGAAGTGTCACAGTGGGGGTTTGATACATGGTTGACCAGGTTGGGTATCTCCATGGGTAGGTGTGGGTGGCATCTGCTCAGTGGCCATGCAGCCCTGTGAATTTCCACACCTCTTCCTTGCAGCATGAGCTGTACATCCGTGCCTTCCAGAAGCTGACAGACTTCGCTCCGGTGAGGGCTGGGCTAAAGCAGGGTGAGGGGCTGAGAGGTTGGACTCAGACCACCCTTGCTCATGACTCTGTGACCTGCAGATCAAGGACCAGGCGGAAGAGGCTCAGTACTGCCAGCTGGTGCGACAGCTGCTGGATGACCACAAGGATGTGGTGACCCTCTTGGCAGAGGGCCTGCGTGAGAGCCGGAAGCACATACAGGTTGGGGCAGCGAAGGAGGGGCAGGGCCTGCTGGAGGCTGGGAAGGGCATGGGATTCTGAGGCCTCACTCTTTACAGGATGAAAAGCTTGTCCGCTACTTCTTGGACAAGACGCTGACTTCGAGGCTTGGAATCCGCATGTTGGCCACACATCACCTGGCGCTGCACGAGGACAAGGTGGGGCTCTGGGACCTGGGAACATTGAGACAGCGGAGACTGGTCTGGGGATCCAGGTCAAGGACCTGGGGGTGAGGCTGTGGGACTGGTGCTTTGGGGCAGTTCCAAAGCTGCCAGCATCTGGGGGCCGAGGTGGGGCCAAGGGTGTGGGTAGTCCTGACCTCCTTTCTCTGGCCAGCCTGACTTTGTTGGCATCATCTGTACTCGTCTCTCACCAAAGAAGATTATTGAGAAGTGGGTGGACTTTGCCAGGTGAGCCCAGAATGGCTCAGGGGGTGGGCAGACATCTGGGGCAGGGGAGACTTGGGTCTGAGCCCTTGTCCAGGACATGATCCGGTGAGGGCAGGGTTTCTCAACCATGACTCTATTGACATTTTGAGCTAGATAATTCTTTGTCATAGGGGCTTCCCCATGCCTGTTAGGAAGTATAGCAGCATCACTGATGTTAGTAGTACCCCTTAGTTGTGACAAAAATGTTTCCACACATTGCCAAATGTTACTTAGGTGGGGCAGAATTGTCTCCAGTTGCAAACCACTGGTGGAGGAGCCTGTCTGAACCCTCACTCCTGTCCACAGACGCCTGTGTGAGCACAAGTATGGCAATGCGCCCCGTGTCCGCATCAATGGCCACGTGGCCGCCCGTTTCCCCTTCATCCCTATGCCACTGGACTATATCCTGCCAGAGCTGCTCAAGAATGCCATGAGGTAGGCTGGCTGGACGTGCTGGGAGGGGGCAGACAGGAACCGCATGCTCCTACCTACTGCTCTTTCCCCTCTGCATAGAGCCACAATGGAGAGTCACCTAGACACTCCCTACAATGTTCCAGATGTGGTCATCACCATCGCCAACAATGATGTTGATCTGATCATCAGGTTTGCCTGGAGTGGGAGTTGGGCTGAGGTGGATGGGATGGGGGTCCAGGCACTGTTTCTGGCTTGCTCTAGGACCTTGAGCTCTTCCTGTCCCATTCTGGGACTCGGTCCCTGGCCAGACAAACCATTCTCTGGATCCTGAGATGGCCATGAGCTGGTTATTAATGGATCTGGGGCCAGCTGCTGGCCTCGGTATCCTGCCTCTGTCAGCAGCTGAGGAGCTTGAAATTGAGAAACAGGAGTAACTGGTCCAGGATGCTGGGCTGAGGATAAATGTCACAACCTATGAGAAGGTATAAGCAGTCAGTGGTCTTGGCAGAGGTGAGGACGATACAAACAAGGCCCAAGGGTCTCGGTGGACCACATTCCAGCTCTGGGTGGAAGGGACAGGAAGGCAGACTTTGCACTGTCTGCTTGGGAGGTGGTGAGTCCCCTGTCAAAGTTGAGCCAAGCCCATTATTGTCGCCATCCTGCCAGGATCTCAGACCGTGGTGGAGGAATTGCTCACAAAGACCTGGACCGGGTCATGGACTACCACTTCACCACAGCCGAGGCCAGCACACAGGATCCCCGGATCAGCCCCCTCTTTGGTCATCTGGACATGCACAGTGGTGCCCAGTCAGGACCCATGCACGGGTGAGACCCTGCCTGGCCAGTATGGAGGGGTGGGGGACCCCAGGAGACTCAAGCCTCTGAAGCCTCCTGTCCTGTCCCCCTGCCCACCCCCAGCTTTGGCTTCGGGTTGCCCACGTCACGGGCCTACGCGGAGTACCTCGGTGGGTCCCTGCAGCTGCAGTCCCTGCAGGGCATTGGCACGGACGTCTACCTGCGGCTCCGCCACATTGATGGCCGGGAGGAAAGCTTCCGAATCTGACTCCACAGCCTTTGGCCTGCTCGCCTGCCCAGCCTGGGCCGCATTTCCTGCAGTACCTCCTGAGTCAGGCAGGGCGGCTCCCCTGCTCCACACACTGCTGCATCTTGGGTCTCAGGGCCCCAGACAGATGGACTTACATGGAGCTGGGCACCGCCCCACCTCGATAGGGTCCACTGCCTCCTCGCCTCCAGGCCTTGGATAGTGGAAGTGGGCACCCCGAGGCCTCCAGCACCAGCTCCCTCATTCTTGTTCCTGGGGAACCCCTACTCTGACCTGTTGTTATTAAAGTTCACATTTTGAATGCCCTCTCGGGCCCCGTGTGTGGGGAGGGCAGGTGAGCTTTTGTTTCTGACCCATTCAGGTTCACTGAGCCCTTGGGTTGAACTGGTTCATATCCCAGTCTCTTACCTGCCCTGAGAGTCTGGCGGGCCAGGAGTAGAATCTGTTCCAAGTCTCTTGCATGTTTGATTTTGTGGGAGTGGGGTGACTATGGCACCTTACACAAAGGACTTTTATCTTGTTGAACAAATGTTTCCGGGTCCCAGATAATATTGAAGGCCCAGGCTGACCTAGCTTCAGGCCTCAGTTCTGACTCTTCCTTTCCTGGCACTCAGTTTCTAGAGGTAAGGTCACCAGACTGGGCAACCTCCTGAGCCAGAGTAAGGTTAAAAATAGATACTCCCTACAATGTCCCAGATGTGGTCATCACCATCGCCAAGGAATATGTCTGCTGCTGCCAAGGAAAAAGGCATACAAGGTCGTGCCCTGGCAGGCCCCAGCAGGGACTGGGTGCCCCACTACAGGGAAAGGTGGGACCCTGATAGGGAGGACCAGGGATTTGGGCAAAGATATCAAGTAGGCACAAGGTTAGACTTGACTCAGAACTCAGATTACATCTTAGGTGGGAACACCCTACCCACCTTGCCAGGGAAAAAAAAAGGCCCGAGAGCAGCCTGGTGGGGCTGAGAGGACTGGAAGGTTCTCTTGCCTTCACATCTGAGCTCCCACAGCAAACTTCCTGAGTCTAACTCTAGGCCTGTATCAACTCCTACCCTTCAGGGGGATGGAGTTGGGGGATGGAGGGGAAGTTGTATCCAGAGGTCATATGGCAGGTGCCAGGAAACCACAGTGACTTCCTAGACTGAAAACTCCTGCTAGCTGGAGGGCAGGGTGGTGAGGCTGGAGAGGCAGGCAGGAGTCAGAGGCCAGGACCCTGAAACATGGGCTTTATCTTGATGCAGTAGGGATCCATGGGTGAGTTCTTATGTATTTGGAAATGGGGTCTGGCTCTGTTGCCCAGGCTGGAGTATAGTAGCTGTGAACTCCTGGGCTCAAAGGATTCTCCTGCCTCAGCCTTCTGAGTAGCAGGGAACACCATGCCTGGCTAAATTTTAAAAATTTTTTGTAGAAACGGTTTCTGCAAAACCCTGTGTTGCCTCCTACCCCCAGCTGGTCTTGAACTCCTGGCCTCAAATGATCCTCCCACCCCAGCCTCCCAAAGTGGTGGGATTACAGGCGTGAGCCAGCACCTGGCCCATGTGGGTTTTGAGCTAGGAAGGGATGTTTCAGTTTGGAGAACCTGAGAGGATTTTTGTCCATATGATTTGTTAAGAAAGTGCTCCCAGAAGGGAGTAGGAGAAGCAGGAAGAGGAAGGGGAGGAAGCCAAGCAAGGATGTGACCTCAGGCAAAAGCCTAGAACCAGTCAATTATGCCTCAGGGTTGAAGGCAAGAGAGCTAAACCTCAGAGGCATTGATTAGTTTCTCCACTTGGCAGTCACTGGGTAAAGTCTGTTGGGAAAACAAACAGCTCTATTAGCCTAAGGATGGTTTTTTAAAGAAGAGCCTCAGGTGCTGGTACCTTTGAAAAAAAAAAGCTGCCTTTGAAAGCACATCAAAGGTAATCTGGCCACACAGAAACAACAAAAAGAACTCCCGGAGGATCTGGGTGGAGGACCTACGTTGTCACCTGGGCTGGAGTGCAGTGGTGCCATCTCAGCTCACTGCAACCTCTGCCTCCTGGGTTTAAGCAATTCTCCAGCCTCAGCCTCCCAAGTAGGGGGGGTGTGGGGGGGGGGCGGTTTCCGCCATGTTGACCAAGCTGGTCTCAAACTCCTAACTTCAGGTGATTTGCCCACCTTAGCCTCCCAAAGAGCTGGGATAACAGGCCTGAGGTACCTCGCCCAGCCTTTCTCTTTTTTTTGGTGACAGTCTCTATCTGTCACCTAGGCTGGAGTGCAGTAGCATGATCTCAGCTCACTGCAATATCCACCTCCCAGTTCAAGCGATTCTCTTGCCTCAACCTCCCAAGTAGCTGGGATTACAGGAGCCCGCCATCACGCCTGGTTAATGTTGGTATTTTTAGTAGAGATGGGGTTTCATCATGTTAGCCAGACTAGTCTCGAACTCCTGACCTCAAGTGATCTGCTGGCCTCAGCCTTCCAAAGTGCTGAGATTACAGGTATGAGCCACTGTGCCTGGCCTTATTGTTCCTCGGAGGAACAGATTTGCAAACATGCAAGATTCTTCTAACAGGAGTCATTGGTGGCCAGTGGATTGGAGGGAGAAGAGTATGGATGGTGAGGTAGTAACCCTGATCAGGGATTTATAAGGCATAGGCTAATCCTTAACTATCGGTAACTGACGATGTCAGGTAAGGTCAAAAGTGAGGCACCAGAACTCTGGGTAGGTGGAATAACAACCCTGAAGATCAGGTAGTTGTAGTAAAAAGCTGGAGTGCAGTGAAGGGATCATAGCTCACTCAGCCTTGACCTCCTAGTCTCAAGTGAGCCTTCCACTTCAGCCTCCAGAGTAGGCGGGACTACAGGCGCGGGCTCCCAGGCCCAGATAGTTGTTTTATTTTGTTTTGTTTTTCCCCAAATTTTTAGTAGAAAGGAGGTCTCTATGCTGCCTAGGCTGGTCTTGAACTCCTGGCCTGAATCAATCCTCCTCCTTGAATTCCTAAAGTGCAGGATTACAGGTGTAAGCCACCACGCCTGAACCCTGTATTTTCAACCCGCAGTTCACTGAATCTTCATATGTGGGACACACAGACATGGAGGACAAATTGTATATGGTTTGACCACACATAAACGGCCTAACCTTTAGTGACTCTCAGAGAATCCTCACACTTGTACAGCTTAGCCAGCACAGGATCAGAACTCAAGATTCCTTTTTCACTGTTCAAGATGTTCTTCACTGTATCCACTGCCTTTGGCCAGTTTCCATCCCGGAGACCTGTGGTTTTGAGGGCTCCTTTCCTTAGAAAGACTTTATCCCGTGAGGATGATTTATGGGCTGTCCCTGGGCACACCCATTCTGCTTTCCCCACCCCAGCTAAGGGAAGTAGTCTCCTCAGCCTTCAAAAATGGGGTACTGGCAGGTGCAATGCAATTACTCACATCTGTAATCCTAGCGCTTTGGGAAGCCTAGGCAGGTGGATCACCTGAGGTCAGGAGTTCAAGACCAGTCTGGCCAACATGGCAAAACCCCGTCTCTACTAAAAATACAAAAATTAGGTTGGGTGCAGTAGCACACGCCTGTAATCTCAGCACTTTCGGAGGGCGAGGTGGGCGGATCACGAGGTCAGGAGTTTGAGACTAGCCTGGCCAGCATAGTGAAACACTATCGCTACTAAAAATACAAAAAATTAGCTGGGCGTGGTGGCATGCACCTGTAGTTGTGGGTACTTGGGAGGCTGAGGCAGGAGAATCACTTGAACCCAGGAGGCAGAGGTCACAGTGAGCTGAGATCACACCACTGAACTCCAGCCCAGGCAACAGTGCAAGACTCTGTCTCAAATGTCTCAAAAACAAACAAACAAACAAACAAACAAATACTATCAGGGTGTGGTGGCTCACACCTGTAGTCCCAGCTACTTGGGAGGCTGAGGCAGGAGAATCCATTGAACCCAAGAGGAGATTGCAGTGAGCAAGACTGTGCCACTGCACTTCAGCCTGGGCAGCAGAGCTAGACTCCATCTCAAAAAAAAAGGGGGTGAGCGACATTAGGCCAGCTCGAGTGTTAACTTCTGGCCACCAGGGTGGCCGCTCTGGTTCTGCCCCGTTAAAATGGGGGTGGCGCCCACTAAAAATTGGCACATCCTGGCTTCCTCAGGCACCAAGGCCTTTAAAAATGTTGAGCTGGCCAGCGTGGTGGCTCACGCTTGTAATCCCAGGACTTTGGGAGACTGAGTCAGGTGGATCACAAGGTCAAGAGATTGAGACCATCCTAGCCAACATGGTGAAACCCCATCTCTACTAAAAATACAAAAATT